CATCACAGGGCGAGATTGCCGCTGGACGACAACGGGAGTGTTTTGCTCAGCGTGCCCACATCAATGGTGACACTGTTCTGCAAGCACAGCGTCCCCACCCCACACACCCCCCCAGGGGCAGTCACACCCTAACAGCTCTAGGAGAAGAAAACCCCGCGCTTTGTACTTCACTGAGGACATCGTGTTCCAATCCCACCCCGGGCAGGGAGGACTCAAGTGGCGTAGGAGCCTTGGACTTCTATCAAAGCCTGATCTTGTATCAACATGCTGACCAACACCAATTCCTGCCTTTTTTCACCCCCCCCAAGTCACTAACACGCATTGATGGCGTGTTGTGTGTTTAATGTAAAAGCAACACAGCTTGAGCCTAAATCTGAAAACCACTCACATTGTTGACCAGGGAGACAATATCCCCTGTTAACACCTTCCAAGATGCCTATCACTACAACCATTCCAGCTCCTTGCAATCCACGCTGATGCTTGCGGAACCCCACCTGGGAAGCGACACCACACTACAATCCCTTCGCTCTCAGATAATAGAATCATGGAATGGTTTGGGTGGGAAGGGACCTTAAAGCCCCCCCAGTCCCACCCCCTGCCATGGGCAGGGACCCCTTCCCCTAGACCAGGTTGCTCCAAGCCTCATCCAGCCTGGCCTTGAAGACATCCAGGGATGGGGCATCCACAGCTTCTCTGGGCAACCTGTCCCAGTGCTTCACCACCCTCTGCGGGAAGAATTCCTCCCTGATGTCCCATCTCAATCTCCCTCTTTCTGTTTAACCCTGCTACCACTTGTCCTGTCACTCCCTGCCCTTGGAAAAAGTCCCCCTCAGGCACTGGAGGGGGCTCTAAGATCAAGAGCAGCAGGATTCCCATGCCAGTGCTGCAGCACCGCAGTGCCAAACCAGCCCCAGTGCTGCAGGCTGCAGAAGGCTCCTCCTAGTAGTTTATTGAAGACGCATCCTCTAACTCTTGCCTCATCTGAATGTTCAACACATCTATTAAATACTGATCTACCAAATAGTTGCTATCTCAGCTACACCACTTTCTTTACAGAAGGTTTTTGAAAGCACACAAGTTCCTAAAAATAGTCTCCTCTAAAGAAGTGGACAGTCCTGTCCTGTAGCAGGGACCAACTCGGAAAAGGAGCCCTTGCTAACCACTTTCCTGTAAGATGCAAAACACTCTCACACTTTTATATGAGATGCAAGTATGTCAAGAACGAGTTGGCCAGTTCTGCAGACTGAAGCTGATGACAACCGACACGCAGAGAGCAGCCGATTATGCAAACAGGGTAAATTCTTTTTGTTCCACTGGAACTGTGCACCTGCATTACGTACGGCTTGTCAGGAGCAAAATCCTTTTAATAAACTTGAGGGCCTGGGATATGTCTTTGATAACACACCCCTTTATTGTTACGAAGGGAACCGAGTGTTAATTACTGACTCCACCTCATTAAAGCAATCAAACGCCCCAGTTGCGATAGAAAAGCAGGAAATCTGTTAGGTTGTTACTGCAAAAGTAGCCTTTTAACGGCATCTCTCTGCTTCCCACAGCGGAGGCACAACATGTTATTAAATTCCACCTCTTTTGTGCTGGAAAAGCCACTTGATGTTGCATTCTCCCCGGGTAGAGATGCCACTGCAGTCTTTTCTGATGTCACCTTTTTTGTTTTTAATTAAAACCACGCGTATGTGTTCTGAAACAACAATTCAAAATGCAGATACTAAACATCTCTCTAGAGGTATGACATGAGAAACGAGACTACCAAAGAACTAAGGAGAAAAACACCTAAAGAATCCTGTGCGGGACAGGCAGAGGGAGCAAATAAAACTGACATCTGCCGGGCTGAAAACCCACACACAGAGTAAGGCTCAGATTGTCCACATGTCAACAGGCATCCGTGTTTTATTGTTGTGTTTTAACGATTCAATGGGGAGGAAAAGTAACAACCAAAAACCACAAAAAAACCCCAGACCAGGTATAAAAGCATCAAGTCCAGTGTGTATCTAGGTCAAACCGTCTGCACTCTAAGGTAACAGCAGATCTCTCCCACACACTGATTTAATACAAAATCCTAGGGATGCAGGTCTATGGTATTTTATCGTATGGAAGATTGAAATATCAAAAAGAAAAGGTAGCTCCACTTCCACCTTTATCTGTCTGGACGGGTCATTCCCGGCCTGGTTGGCACCATCATGGGTCTGGAGGGTGGTCTCATCATTGGGGGCCCTGGCATCATCGGCATGTGTCCTCCCATTGGTGGCCTCATCCCCGGAGCTACAAGGGGAAAGACAGGACGTTAGCCAAGAGCTCTTGGGAGCAGCAACTGCCGAGTCACATCAGTACAGCGTGCAGGTTCTCTCTCAGCCCTCCAGGGAACTTCCACTTACAACCGTGTAAGCTTTGATCCAGAAGCTGGCCAACACAGAGTACATTTCCCTGAAGGATATGAGCAATTAGTAGAGGAAAAATTAATGTTTCTGGGTTATATGCTCACTTTTGACAATATTCACTGATTAATTATTTTCAACCACTCAAAAGAGACACTGGCTTCATTACAGAATTGGAAAGTTCATTTGGAAAAGAAGTGTTGCAAAATCCTTCAGTGTGTTTAAAAAAGAAAAAAAAGACTTCTTCCAGCTGGGTAACAGCATTACCAAAAAAAGCAGGTGCCTTACTAAAAACCACTGAAATACAGATTTCCATCCAACTTCTCCATTTCTTTTCAGGCAGCCTGCTATCACAGATTACGCACGTATTTTGTGCCTTTAAAGAGCACTTAAAGAACAGTTTCTACCAGCACAATGATCATTGCAAAGACACTTTACTACTTTTAGTGCACACGTGTGTATTGCTTTCGATTTGTTCCAGTAACTGCTTCAGTAAGACGTCCTCGGGGAATTCTTCAAGTGCCAGTAAGCTCAAAAGCAAAATGGATCAAAGACATTTTAGTTTGCCTTTATGGTTTTGAAAAGAAAAAACACAACTTTAAGGCGTGTTGTTTCTCTGGAACACATTATCCCGAGATGTTTCAAACAATAAAGTTTACCCAGTGCTGAAATGTACCCCTTGTGCAAAAACATAAGCACTAGAGACACAGAATTCCTAGACGATTCAACATCGTGCTGCTAAGACCAGAAGTAGAAAAGCTACAATTTGCCAGAGTGATAACTGCAGTTATACAATTCTCAACAAGTAGTAAGGATCTTTAATTAGCAAGTGTAAGACTGGTTTATGTCTCACCATGCAAAGGATAATGGATCAGCAAACGTGCACAGCGTAGGCAAACTGGAATACTCTCACAGCTTGACACTAGAGGCTGTCCAACCATGCTATGTCCAACAGCGACACAAGCTATAAACCTGCACCACTACCGCCAGCACCCAAGTACTGCAGCTGCTTCCCATTTTCCTTTCACAACTCCCCATCGCCCAGCGAGATGGAAAATATAACCCAGACATCCTGCAAACCAGGCCACGCGGTATCCCACACCCAGAGATTTACCTATTTCCAGACTTACCAGGTCCAACCGGCATCATTCCGGGTGGGGGCGGGCCCATCATTGGCATCATCGGTGGTCCACCCATATGAGGGGCCGGCATCATGCCGGGCCGCGGGGGGCCAGCTGAACACACACACAAATGGGTTAGGTATCTGGCTGCTTTCACATTCATCAACGCGCAACTCCACGCAGTTACTGCACTTCACAGGAGGTTTTTGTCATTAGGGTGTCTCAGGTTGTTTTATGCCTGCCTGCCTTCAGTTTCCACTCTGACTCCAGGTGCCAAAAAGTGAACCAGAGAAAGGACATGCCAGCTCTTATTTCCAACTCTGCATACCTAACGCAGATGCCTACCACTTCCAACAGCAGGACTCCAAGGGGAAAGGCATCTCAGCTGTCTGCCAGCTGAGGCACAAAGGAAGGTTACCAATCCTATTCTGGTTTTCATTTAAAAAACCCAAACCCCCGTGCTGGAAGTTTTAATGAAACTACCCACAGGACAGCTGGCACATCATGAAGAGACACACACTCCTATTGATGCACTCAACATTATTAAAATTAGACAAACTAAAGATTAAGATGGTTGCTGAAACACTCTTACTGAGCATTCTCATATATTCTGGTATTGATAAGCTCAAAATGTCTTAACTTGATTTCAAGCTAAAGGGACTTTTCTTTACATGGAAACATGCAACACAGCTCAAAAAGGCTGGCATCCCCAAAGTGCCCGGGTCAGACTTACGGATGCTGGGAGGAGGCGGTATCATGGCTCCTGCGGGAGGTGGTGCCGAGAACGGCGTAGGTGGGATTTTCCCTTGCTGAAATGCAGCCGCTACATTGGGGGGGAAAGAAAAAAAAAAAAAAGGAAAGAAAGAATCCCAGGAGAAAAAACCAGTTACTAGGCCGAGGAAGTTCCTGCATCAATCTTCCTTCTCATGCCATGCGGTCACGTCATGCTGCGTGCTCAGTTGTTCTAACTCTGGAACAAATCCCTGGTCTGTGCTGCTCCTCATGGTGGAAGCACCTGATATTCTTGAAGGCAATTATTACAGTAATTATTCCAGCTGAGACTAGAGAACTCCCGGATGAATTTCACACACCTAACAGGAAGGCGATGGTGGAGAAAACACATCACGTGACTTGCAGCTGCAACTTTCACCTGGGATCACTGGGTAAAGACACGTCTTGAACATGGTAATCAGGCAATGACTGAGGTGACAAAAAGCATGAATAACACGTTGTGTGAAAAGGGATGAGAAGGAATTCACAAGTCTGGAATCGACTAGAAGGAAGACAAAGGATGTGAAAGTTGGAAGCATTGGGAGGAAAATGGACATGAGGAAATGGGATGAAGCTGCGCCAGGGAAAGGCTGTACTGGACACTAGGAAAAGGCTCTTCACTGAGAGGGTGGCGTGACACTGGGACAGGCTCACCAGGGAAGTGCTCATGGCAACAAGCCTGTCAAGAGTTCAAGGAGCATCCAGATGACGCTCTTAGTCATATGGTTCAGTTTTAGGTAGTCCTGCAAGGTGCAGGGACTTGGACTCAACAATCCTTATGGGTCACTTCCCATCTGGTAAATTACAATGTTCTATGGCAACTTTCTTTAGATCCTAAAGTTAATCTGGCATTTGTATTTCTTTTCACAGAGAAAAGAACCATTATTCAGAGGACAAGTGAGAAGAAAAGAATCCTATGAGCTAACAAAGGAAACACTTTACACTACTGAGACCTTAAATAGCAAGGGAGTGAAAAAAACCACCAGTATTCCCTGAGGATTTGGGGCAACTACAGCATTAAAAAAAAACCCATACATTTTAATGTCTGTTTTCCTATTCTTTGGATTTCTTCTTCATGCTCTTTACATAAATGTGCTACCAAAAAGCAAACGTGGTACATGACCATGTACGACACTACCAGCAGTGCTAAAGTCAGCGGTACCTACAACCCTCCCAACCACTGTGAAGCAGTAAATGCCCACTTGCAGTGACCCCTCGGGCAGAGCCCTCTGTCTCTGACGTGGAATCCCACACTCTGAAGAGTTCAAGATTCAGATTCTAAGCGAAGTTTTCACTTATGATTCTCAGAGCAAAGACTCACCAGGGATGTAAGGAAGAGTCAACACAGAAGAAAAGCAGGTAGAGAAAAGACGGGGGAAGAAACAGGAAAGCAATCCAGGGTCACAGAAGGATTGGCCTTACTTGTTTTGTCAATCAGGCTCTGAGCTTGTTCCTCCATCCATTTTTGATAGTAGTCTTTCACATTCTCTTTGTGTTTTCGGCCACTGCAGTGGGTTTTTCTCACGGAGGGCTGAGAAAGATCACATAAAACCAACGTTTACTGGGAACTGTTGCATAATTTTAAACATGCAATCTAGCAGGATAAAATAGGTTGGTTTCTGCACCCTGTCAGAGGTGGGTGATGTACAAAACCTTTATGCATAAACTATGTGTTCACACTCCGGTTTAGGTAGAAGAGGTTGCCCTAACACCCAGCCAGCTCATGTACTAATTCACTGCAACACCCATAGGCTGCCCTTCACTGCGGAATGCAAATGACACTCAAGTTCCTCCCGTTCTCATTGTTTTCTTTTTTTTCTTTTTTTTTTTTTTTAAGTAGGAGGACAGGTAAGGATGCTACGATATTTCAAGTAGATTGGTTCTAGGCTATGTAAGTTTTACTTTAGTACTCTCGATACAAAAGAGAATTCAGCAGATTTGGTACTTACCGAGTCATGGGTGAGGTATGTATCACAGTAATCACAATAAAACCTGACAAGGGAAAACTCTTATTATTAAGAAATCACTTGTCGCTGTGAGTACTGAAACAGCCCCTCACAACGGCTCCAGGGCCCTGCCAGGGGCGGCTGGAGGAAGGGGCCCTGCACCGAACAACCGCCCAGGCCTCGGCCTGCCAGAGCCCCCGCCCGCAGCCCCTCCTATTTCCCCGCTTCCCGAGGCCCCGTC